CATGAACTATAATCTCTAAATTTTCCATGTACAAACAAGTTCGACCTTGGCAAGAGTTTTGGAGACCTATGGCAAATGAAAAAAAATATGAACTTTCTTATAAGTCTTTAAAAATAAAATTAACGTCGTAAATAAAATTGAACTATTATTTTGTTAGATAGATGATTAACGCTTTTCTAAATTATGAAACGGAAATGAAAAATCAAGAAATAAGAAAATATATTTTATCAATATATATACCAAATGAAAACGTTTTTCGTTTATTAGATACACATTAAGCGGTATGTTAAAGAAGTAGTGCGTCAAGTTAAAGCAACCCTTTTGAAATATCTATGCATATTCCCTTAGAGGAGAAAAAGTTAATTGGAGTGGTTTGTGGACTTTTGTGTGCTTTCTTTATTACAAGTCGCATGTGTTGAGTGGTGCAGGGAGGAATAGTGCAGGCTCTGAGCATTCATAACAAGTGGAGAGGTTATAGCTATGACTACCAAGGAAGCCCTAAACCGGTTTTCACATTGAGGGATCCCAAAAACTCTTGCTTTTCCATAACCAATTCTATTCGCATATCGGTCCAACCGGGAAATTGCTACTTTGATGTGAGAGGGTACTTCCCGGATAGAGATTGCAGTATCATTGATTCCGCCGGAAATGTTATTGCTCAGGTAACAGGATGGATTGGAAGCAGAGATATATATAAGGTAGTGATAGAAGCAAATGTGGACAAAGCTTTTGTTTTTGGAGTCATCGCGGTTCTGGACTATATCTATGGCGAATCTACAAGTTGTTGATCCGTTTCATCACTCTCCGATTATTATTTGCACATTACTCTTTACTAGAGTCTCTAGACTCAACTTGTGTTTGTTGTTCCTTGTAAAGTTCAGAGACTCGATGTGTTTTCTACTTTTCTTATGTAAAAATTAATTTAACTATGTAAACATTTTATATTCTACATATGCGCAAAACACTTAACCTTATGTGTATTCTTTTAATAGTTCAGGTCATACTAAAGGTGTTTTAGGTTGTTATCATTCAATCTTCGGAAATCTTAAGACATCTCTTACCCCAGCGCTTTGGTCATTCCGCCCTAATTTGAAACCGTTACAATGCAGCAAAGATTAAGACAAACTAAAAGCAGATGACCCGAATGGAAACTACACGATTCATAAGACTGATGGAAACAAGTTTCAACTGAAATCAGAAAGATCTTAGAAAGCTTTGAAGCCAATGGAAGAGATGCAAAGTCTGCTTTAATGTTACATTGAAAAGAGATTAGTCACGTTCACTAATGGCTGTCAAATGCTCGTCGATCTCCTCTGTTTTCAGGGAACGGAAGATAGGGTTATCAGCTCTCACAACTCCCACCTGCCAGGAAAAATATTTACATGACTCTCACAAGCTTTAACCAAATCTCATTTTAACATGAAGTAAACCAAATAGTTTCCATTCACTTCTCCTTGTCACATGCAGCTCTCTTTTCTTCCTAACCAAGCTACAACTACGCCACATATAAATACAAAAAAGGAGTATAGAGAACCGAGAATTGATACCTCAATCTCAGTTGCTTTGAAGTCTTCTTGAAGAACAGATTGCAGAGCGGATATGGCAGTCTACAAAAAGTAATGATAACTCAAAGTCAAAATTAATTGGCTAAGTTTGTTTCAAAATCTTGGTGCTTAATGCGTTCCTACCAATTTAACCCTACTATAAAACAATAAAGCTTTTAAGGTGTATGCAAATGAACATAGGAAATGATCACTCGGCACCATCGGTTGACAAACATATGCTGCTTCGCATCTACAACTATGAAAAAGGAGAAGAAAAAGGACCGGCCATAACTTACCTGCACTGTTTCATCATACGTAAAGGCAGGGTTCTCTTTCATTTTCTTCTCCAAGAAATTGATAGCTTCTTGTTCTTTCATACCAGCACTAGTTGCCTGCATCATATGTTTGCCTACTTGTTAGTTGAGATACTGTATAATAGAAGCCTCTTATTCCAATGGAGCAATAAAATTGTACATTGTAGCCTCCTACAAGCGTGGGTACATGGTCCAGAAGTAATATATGTACCATGTATGCAATTTAACTAGATCATACTTCATAGGTTTGCAATCTGTAACAGTTTATATGTTATGTAAGGGTAGAAGAAAATAAGATAAACACTGACAGCTTTTCACAATACAGTTTCTAGTTAGACAAGATTGATAGAAAACTAAATTACAGGAGAAGCAAGTGCAAGATAGCAGTACTACATTTTCCCCACAGGCTTACCGCCGAGGTGTTTCTTCCATGTTACTAAAGGCATTAGTCTATATCAATATGCGCATAAAACAGAGGATTAATTAAGAATAACGATTAGAGTGGTATTACCTTGTGACCGTAAAAATGTCCAGCTGGGTCACACTTGTAAAGTAGGGGTCCTCTCTCTTCATCAATACCAAGAACCATGGCAACTTCGGAAAGACAAAGAAACAAGAATGAGTCTTTGTCTCCAATTAAATATAACTAGCAATAAACCACACAGATAAAACACAAGCAAATGTATAGATAAGCATCAGACAAGGAAGAGATAGCAAACTTGCCTACTCCAAGGGGCCTCATGTAAGCATGTTGAGTGTAGACTTGTGACTTATCTGCAATCCTGTCAGCCAAATTGTTCATTATTAACAATTTTTCACTTACATACTTCACCAGTGTAGACGTGGATAGAGTGATAAGTTAATCCATCAATTAACTAAGAACTAGGAAGGTCAGTTTGCAAAAGTATACCATTTAGCAAGAATGTCGGCAGGCATCTCGTATCCATATTGGAACCTAAACTCAGCTGCCTCATTCCTTGCTTGCGTGACCAAGGACCTTGAATCAGCTGGCATTTCATTGAAGAGTTAGTATATTAGATAACACACAGAGCTATATAGGCATGCTACCAGAATATAACAAGAATTACGATTTTCCTACAACACAAGACGAACCGAACCTGTCATGCCAGTGGCTAACAATCCAAGGTACTTGGTGACAGGGAAAAGGTGAGATACGCTAGACTGATCTAGAAGCTTGTCCTGCCCACCCGCAAAACATGAAAGCTCAGATCAATTGAATGGATAAAAGACTCAAAATCTCAAATTTATTGGATCCCAAATAATCGAAACCCTCGCTTAAGTGAATCCCAGAGCGCATCGATCTACGCCCTAATAAAAGATGCAAGCTTGGACCCAAAACCCTAAATCGTCAAATAACGCAAAAACGGACTAACCGGAACTTTCTTCTGCGTAACGACGCATACTGAATCTTTTCCTCGCACCCCGATCGATGTGATTCCAGCTGCCTTGACGGCTTTGAATGCGTATTCTACAAAAAGTAATATAAGAATTGAAGGAAGCAGAGAAGGAGAGTGAGTGGAAGGATTCGATTACTGACCGACTTGGAAGAGACGACCTTCCGGTGAGAAGATAGTGATGTGACGATCGTACCCAGCGCCGCTTCCTCTGCTCATCTTTTTTCTCAACGAAGCAAAAATCCAATCGGAGTTGGAGTCTGATCTATAGAATGTCACAAGAGAAAGGAAATAGAAGAAAGCTTTGCCTTCAAGACAGAAATATTTACCAGGGTTAGTACATTTCCAAAACTACCCTTTAAACTAACACTAATTACAGTTCTGACACTCTTGCTTCTA